AGCCTGCTAGTGCAGACACCGGGCAGAGCATGAGATGCTTCTGGAATGTGTTCTGTCCCTCCAACTCTACCACCCAAACAAGCAGCAGCAACCAGCAGCAGCATTGTACAAGTCAGAATTGCATGATGATATCCATTGACAACACTTTTCTGAAACTGTGGATTGAACAGAACTCCTGCCCTATGACAAACAGAACAGTAACATGACCTAGTAGGTTTTAAAGATCCTTCTTTTGATATTCTACCCCAAAATTTTGTGCAACTTTAAAAAACAGGCAGGATGAGTGACTGCCTTTGATACTAATAATCTAAATTCTACGCAAGTGAGAATTTGAAAGAGTAATGAATCTCACCAGTTCTTCCCTCAGATTTCCCAACGTTTCCATCTGTTTTGAACGTGCACTTAGCATACTTGAGAGCTTCTCCATCAGAATATCATACTTGCTCCTCCTAACCAAAAAAGAAAATGAATTGACATGTAAGTATGCATATAACTTTACAAACATGAGTTGTACCTTTACAGAAGGTCAGTCACTACAGAAAGTACGCTGAAGTGTTCTCAGACTGTTTTAGGAATTACAGGTTTCTTTTCCCTCTGTGAATAGCACATGAGAGAATTTGTCACTAAGAAGAGACCACAGGTGAGGGAAGAGTGACTAAGCCCAGGCTGTTACTCCCTTGGCAATCCACACAAGCACGAGTTCTAATCATAAACAAGACAGGAAAACAAAAAAAAAACTATCAGAAATTTGTTTGAAGGGAGAATGTTAACAGCATGATTAGTGCTGCAATAAGAAGAGTTAGGCTCATGCAGGCAGGTGAGAGGCACTAGGATACCCCATTGTTTACAGCTCCAGGACAAGAAAGCTTTAAACTGTCCAGCATCTGGAAGAGGAGCTGATAAAGAAACTGAGTCAATACCAGGAAACTTCTGATGGTTCTGTGACAACAGAGCAAACTTTCATCATAGTAGAAGGTCACCAGTGAGACCTTTAAAACATCTGAGCGGCACATACCTATCAACATGAAAGCGAGTCAGAAGCAGAAGAATTGAGTGTTGCTGTGCTCCACTTGGTAGTCTTATGACATGGGACTGCATTGTTATGAGACCATTTCTGTCCAATACTCTTCGGTGATAATGAATTTTTCCAGCATCCACTCTAAGAAAAAGATGGCAAGAGATCTATAGGCATACAAACTTATGTAAATAAATTCTAATTATCCAGTATCCCAATACCCTTTACCTACGGGGTACATAAATTACCCTTTACCTAAATTACCTGTGGTCTTAGTGACATATTAATTTTCAAAGTGAAAATTTCAAAATTTGGAAGTGCCAAAATGAAGATAACCTGTGACACTGATTTTCATAGTTAATCCAATTAAACAGAGAGAAACACCTCTGATCTTCACCTACAGTCTCTATGCACAATCACAGCATCATGACACGGTTTGATAAGACAGCTGAACCAGTATTGTATCCCCACTCCCTCTTTCTTCTTCCTCTCTTTCCAACTCCTGACTACACCACGATCACTGTCCTCCTTGCGATAGCTCTGGTATTGATCTCGCTCCTTGGTGAGCTGACTCAGGCCACCAAACTGGCAGAAAAGTATCCACAAAAGATTTCCTTCCCACATCCATCATCTTAGTTGCCTAGAAGAGCTTCCTGGGTGGCAAAAACCAAAAAACAGTGTGATCTGCAAGTCACATATGCTTCATCTCCCCAAAACAGTGAATCATTAACAGCACTGCTAATACCCCCAGAACTGCAACACAAACCTCGTGTTCCCTCAGAGGCTGCGTGACGCTCATTCATCAACAAAATACAGGGTCTAGTTTGGGAGCTGGTGGCTCAGGCTCCCTTTCAGGTCACGTAGAGAAAGATGTCACCCAGAGCAAATGCTGGGGACAAAAGGAGAATGTCCCAGAATCTCTCCAGAACTTGGGCAGGGTAACATGTTTACTCAGCAGTTTAGAAAAGGAAATGAAAATTGCCCTTCCATCCCAAAGCTGAAGAAAGCAAGTGATTTAGAGAAAGCAAGAACTTCCACGAATTAGAAACCTCTGTAGTGACCCCACAGACAATCTCTGGTCCCACCAGAAAATACCAGGAAATATATTGAACTGAAGGAAGAGACCAGTACAGTACACTTCCAGCGATACGGGCTCCAAGCACCAAGGGCTCCTGGTAGTAAGGATGAGGAACTACCAACACAGACATGAGTTGAAATCAGCACACAGGAAAACTCAAGTGGACAAAACTTTGTAAGTAACCAGTGGAAACATGTTAGCTTCGATTTCATCCATCTAGTAAGATACAAACTTACTTGAAAGCCCCGCTGTGAAGGTCCCTCTGCAGCTCTCCCTGCCACCTCGCACGCCCTAAGCGCTCCAGTATGCAGTAGGAGAAGTCAGGGAGTTTTAAGTCGGGGTCCCCCTCCCAGCCTATCAAAGCTCTGTAACGCTGGTCTTGGGAAGCAACAATGACTAGCTTCTCTCCCCATCTACCAAACAGAAGGGAAAGCATTAAAATATTATTAGTTCCATAAAAACAGACAGGTCATAACTTCCCCCTCCCCAAACACCATTCTTGATATAATCTGCACAAACTGAGTGAGGACTAAATTTTAAAATGGAAGTTATAAACCTTTTAATGCCAGATATAAGGGTTTCACTCACTTTTCAATAGCTTCTACGTAAGTATAACAAGGCTGCAAATCCTTCCTCCTTATCTGATCAGTGATATCTACTCTCTCTTTAAAATACTGGCAGGACCCTTGTATGCCATCTTTATTATCCAAAATCATGTGGACGGGATAAATATCATCTGAAGGTACGGGATCTCTTTTGGTTTCCAGTATTCCTGTTTCAAGGTCTATTTCTTCATATCTGAAATGAAAGCAGAGAGCCAACATTTAACCAAGAAGGGGAATTCGGAACTGAAATGTAAGATTGTCACAAACAATATCGATACCTCCATCAAATATCTTGGAAAAATGAAACTCTTTCAAAACCTAAAAACTGGAAAACCACGAAGAGCAGCCCTGCACTCCTGAAGCACACCCAAACCCTCTCAGCATACCCAGCACACCAGGCAGAGGGAGGGGAATACACGGTGTGATGTTCACAAATCCAAGGATACTGAAGCGGCGGGAACAAAAGAACCACAGGTAACTGCTGGGTTCCAGAGAACAGGCACATCCGCCCCGCCGAACCGGGTCACACACACCAGTCAGCCCCTGGGAGGGAAATCCAGCCCGGCCCCCTGCACAGGAGCCTTCCGAACCACCCCCGC